TCTGGGCTCCTCCCAAAAAGAGAGACCTGGAGGGGCTGCAATGTGTGCAGGACAGGGAACGGAGCCCCAGGAGAGGCTGAGGGAGCTGGGAAGGGGCTGGAGAGTCCCTGAGGAGCTGGGCAGGGGCTCAGCCTGGAGCAAAGGAGGCTCAGGGGCCCTTGTGGCTCTGCACAGCTCCTGCCAGGAGGGCACAGCCGGGCTGGACTGGGAACAGGGGCAGGAGGAGAGGGAACGGCCCCAGGCTGGGCCAGGGGAGCTCAGGGGGGATGTTAAGGAATATTTCTGCACTGGGAGTTGTGCAGCCCTGGCACAGCTGCCCAGGCAGTGCTGGGGTCCCCATCCCTGGAGGGGTTGAACAGCCCTGTGCATGCAGCACTGGGGACAGGGGCTGGGGTGGCCCTGCAGTGCTGGGGCCGTTGGGCCGGGTGTTCTCATGGTTCCATGACATCACGGGCAGGTCACAGAGGCCGCGGGCTCTGTTCCGTGTGCCGTGGCCCCACACACAGGGTGAGGGGCTGCTCCTGAGCTCAGGGCCACAGCACAGCGAGTGCTCTGCCAGAGGAGCCCCCTGAAACTCCCTGCTGCTGTCCTTGGCTCTGTCCTGTCCAGCTGTCCAGCATCCCCACGGCTGGGGGATGTCCAGCTGTGGCACGGACACTCCGTTGCATTGCTCAGATGCTCACTGGCTCCCCTTATAGACTGGCTTGGTGGTGTAAAAATGAAGGGATTTCCCCTGTTATCTCGGTGAGCTGCTCAGGTCTATGAGGAGGAGACAGGAGCTGAAGTAAGTGTGGGAAAGAAATGAGGAGGGAGCAGGAGCGAGGCCACTGAGGTGTTGGAGCGTGTGCAGATGAGGGAACAGAGCTGGGGAAGGGTCTGAACCACAAATCCTGTGAGAAGCTGCTGAGGGAGCTGGGAAGGGCTCAGCCTGGAGCAGAGGAGGCTCGGGGGGACCCTGTGGCTCTGCACAGCTCCTGCCAGGAGGGGACAGCCGGGGGGATCAGGCTGGGAACAGGGACAGGACAAGTGGGAACTGGGCTAAGGGAGGCTCAGGGTGGATATCAAGGAAAGTTTCATCATGGAAAGGGCTGTCCAGCCGTGGCACAGCTGCCCAGGGCAGTGCTGGGGACCCTGCAGAGATTTACCAGCCCTGTGGATGTGGCCCCTGGGACAGTGGTGGCCTTGCAGTGCTGGGGACAGTTGGACTGAGCTGGCCGCTGATGGAAGGGCTGAGCACGGCCCTGTGGGAAATGAGCCCCGTGTTTGCGGGCAGTTCCAGTGAATATTCCATCAGTAATTCTGTGTAACACCGTGTTTCACCCTCGGCAATACCCACAGAGCGCTTCCCTTGCTAAGCCTGGCAGCAGTGTCAGTGCTCGGGTCATTCCTCGTTAGCTGCAGCACCTTGTGTGAGACTGAGACTGACCTGGGAACAAACACTGCTGTGCAACAGGTTTTCAAAAACATTATCGGTGTTTCCCTGTCTGTGACTCACCCAGTGCCACCATTGCCTTTTCCTGAGCAGCATACCTGTTGTGACAGTGCCTGTATGTTAAATGTTGCAGATTGTTTATTCTGTCTGTGCAGCAATCAGATCCACACTAAATGGACTCCAGAAAGGCAACTTACATGTTAAATGCTATATTTATTCTGTCTGTGCAGCAATCAGATCTACACTAAACGGACTCCAGAAAGGCAGGTACTGATTCCTGTAATGATAAGAGTACAATTTTTTATAAAAATCTGGGGTTTGTCATGATTTCAGCTAGGAAAGGCAAATTACTTTATTTCCAGTATTTCTGTGCATTGCACCTCAGATGGATTTCTTGCTACTTCATTTTTCTGCCCCTGATCCATCATAAGCATGATTTTAATCAGGAGGAGTCCCCTTGAACGCAGCCCAGCTCCAGGCAGCTGCAGAGGGCACGTCCCCAGCCCAGAGAGCAGTGACATTGGGTGTGACAGTACCAGCAGCCCACTTGGAGGCTGGAGATAAATGGGATGCATTCCCTGGAATGGCCTTTAATGGATGCTGCCGTTGCAGGAGTGTTCCCGAGGTCTGGTGTGGTTCCCAGAGTCAGCTCTGCTGGAGCTCAGTTTGGGTTTCTCTGCAGAGCTGCCCTGTCCTCACCCCTGAGTGCACAGGCTCCTGATTCCTGCTGTGAGCGCTCAGCAGGAATTCACATTTGTGCCTCAGCCCAAGTTTAATGTGGAGACTTGCAGTGGAGGGTTTTGAGGAGCAGAGAGAGGAAGGAACTTCCTGGGTCACAGAGTCCAGTCATTTGGGGCTGGAGACAACAGGCACCCTACAATCAGTGCTTTCATCAGGGCAGGTGACACCCTGCTGCTTGACAAGGTGTCATTGTTCTCGGGTTGGACTCCGTGACCTTAAAGGTGCTTTCCACCCTGGACAGCCCTGTCATTCTGAGCAGGGGTTTCCTGCCTGTGCCAGCTGTACCAGGGCTGTGCCAGGCTCACTGATGTGCTGGGTGCTGTACCAGGGCTGTGCCAGGCTCACTGATGTGCTGGGTGCTGTACCAGGGCTGTGCCAGGCCCAGTGCTGTACCATGGATGTGCTGGGTGCTGTACCAGGGC